CACACACACACACACACACACACACACACACACACACACACACACACCTCTTGGCCTTGGCGTTGAGACGAATACATTTCTTTTGAAATGTTTATTTGAATAAAATCAGTTACATATTTTGTCTCCTATCAAGATTTCGGAAAGAACGATTTGGGATCAGTTAACCCCAAAAGCTGTTCACATTTCATCGGACAGTGTGTCAGCAGAGCTCCAACTGAAGCGCATCCGGTTGTCCGGGGAATGGAATTATTATTATTTTTTTGACATCAGGGACGATACAAAATACATTTTGGGACGGAAGGAATATGTAGTGTAAGAATAAAAATACTGGGACTAAACCATAACATTAACCTCCGACGATGTAGAATAGCGAGACAGTACACAATTCTGAATGCAAAAGCACTCTGTCACACACACACACGTACACACACACAGCCAGAAGGTGGACCGCGGCTGTCAGGCAGTTACAATGGTGCCCCAAAAGCGTCACCTACCTGGCAAAACGAACAGATGAAGACAAAGAAGGAGAAAAGCTACACGGTCTCTTTCTCTCTCTGTCTCACCTGTGCACACCCACAATGCTGACAAATTAAATAAACACAAGTTTGAAGATAGTATAATAAAAAAACAGTTGATTTATGAATTGAATGAATGTGATATGAATAAACCCATGAATATGTATGTGTAACAAATATTTGTATAAAATGTGAGCTAATTTATCATTTCCACTGTCACATCACTTCTAATTATGAAAATAATTTCTGTTGAGTCATTTAGGTTTTGGTTTAATTTGTATTTCAGGACGGTTTTGGGTGGCAGTGAAGTTAGAGCCCTGGTATCAGGATGCACAGCTTTATGAAATGTATTTTTATTTATACACACACACCTCACTCATAAGCTTGAGGTTGAATCAGAGATGCTCACAATTCATTGTTTTGCAAGTCCAAGTCAAGTGTCAGGTCTTTGAGCTGGAGTCCAAGTCGAGTTACCGTGTGTGCGACTTAAGTTGTTCTCCATGATTGGAAGTGACCTGAAGAGCTCCGCCATGAGTTTAGAGTTATGACCTTCAATCAGAAGAACAAGGTGGCACGGTTTAACAAGGCAACGTGGAGTCTTAATGTCTGAGGTGATTCTCTCATCACTATTCTTAGAAAAAATATTTCAATGACGGACATCAGAGTGATGTGATGTCCATTGACGCCGCAATCAGTTGGTGTAATGCAGCTGTAATCCTTTAATCATGTTTCAAGCAGATGCGGTATGAGAGGGAGCAGAACACACAGCAAAGAGTGAGAGCTGGACAAACGCCCTGCGATGGACTAAAATCCCACTGCGCAGAGAGAGAGAGAGAGAGAGAGAGAGAGAGAGAGAGAGAGAGAGAGA